TCTCTGATGCATAACAAGCGATTGCAAATACCATGGCCTGTATCAGGCGCACCTTAGTCTCCAGAGAGACACTGTTGCTCCTGAGTACCTTAGAGTACTCTGATACTGATACATCGATAATATGAATGAACCTCAAAAGCATTATGCTAAATATAAGAATAAAAAATCAGACACAAAACTCAGCACAAAACACCATGAACTCAGTTATGTAACTGGTATATAAATCTATCATTATTAAAGTAGATTAATGACTGCACTGTAGACAGAATAGCGATAAGCAAGGCATTTCTTTTTGGGGTAATAATAATGTTCTGAAACTAATGATGATGGTTACCCAACTTCGTGAATATGCTAAAAACCAGTAAATTGTGCGCTTTTAAAAAGCCCAACCAATTTTGGAAGACAAAGCAGAAGATTGAGAGGTGAGACAACAGAGAAACATAAATGAGACCATGGCTGTGAAGAGGTATGTTGAGGTTAGATGGAGGTGCTTTGTTTATTTTTTTTTTTTTTACGGGACTTTGGTTTTAGCAATGAGATGAAAATGTACACATTGTGAGAGAAATCAGTCTATAGATAAAGAAAAATTGGAGACACAAAGAAAAGGAATAATTAATGAACGGTGGATCTGGGAAGGCATCTGAAACATGAGCAGAAGAATTGTTACCATGAAGCAGGACAAGTCCCGACGCTTCCTCTCCAAGAGTTGCTTCCCAACCAATAACTCTTCTAGACTTTTATGTTTCATTTTACACAGTGTCTTCTTTTAGAAATCTTTTCTTTACAGATACAAAATGTGTAAGGATTAAATTATCAAAAAACTATAAACTCAAAACTACTTTTGTACACGAATTCATGTTGGTTTTAATGACACCAAGAAATGTTCCTGCTGAACCTTTTGTTTTGTTTAAAAGCTATTTCCCTTGAAAAGAGAATGATGAGGTGTTATTAAGTCTCTTGTTTCTGAGTTTGTCGTCTGTTAATGATACTGCCTTTAGTAACCCTGTCATTTCCTCCTTTAAAGTGAAGAGGTATTAATGGTGTATTTGAAGAGTTCTTATCTTTGAGACACAAATGGAACAAAAACCGATGAGTCCTGTAATGCTGTGTTTTAGTTAGTAATTACCGCCAAGCTTTTACCAATCAAAAATAATCTCCTTGGAACAGTGTTAATGACTTTTGCTGAAAAATAAAAGCCTCGTACAAATTTCAGAGTTTCCAAAGGATGGCAATTAATTCCTACCTCTGACTTAACGTTGATTGCTGAAATGTGGTAAAACATAATAATGTTATAGATTATTTGTTTGCTGAAAAAATAATTATCAGACACATGTTGAAAGCATTTTCTGTTCAGAGTGGTTATCCGTAACGACGATAAGCCATCGACAGGGATTTTATGTTGACTCAATTATCCTTCATGAAATTCCCTGTGAGAGCCCATCTCAGATTGTGGTTGGGGAAACACTGTGGCAGGTGTGAAGACTGTGGAGTCTGACGTCTGCTGTCTGCACCAGGGGAAGAATCCGCAGCCACAGTGCACGGCTGCTTCCTGTGGGGTCAGATATGCCCCTCCGCTCCAAGTGCCTTCTAACAAGTCCAGCACCCGCGCTCCTTCCCATAGCTCAGGCTTAATAATTGGTTAAATGGCCACACGGCACTGACAAATAATGCCCATGATTGTGGGATTTACTGGAGACATTGTAGTTAAGATCGGGGAAATGCAGGAGATTACTCTTCATTCAGGACATCTTCTCAGGTATGCTCTCTGACCCTCGACCTTTCAGGTGTGGCCTCTGCCACTTGTACCATTTGTGACGTGTACAAAACTCTTTTAACATAGCCAATAGTGTGTCAGCTTCACTCTGACCGTAAACCTAGGCCTTGCACGCTCAGCTCTAGCTCTGTATGCTGGCTGAACTTGGTCCCCTGCAAGTGCCCGAAGGGACTCACTCCACCAGCAAGCTCACGGCTCTCTCTCATGCCAGCCTCTGGCTCTCCAATACCTCTGCTGTTTGTGTTTGGGTCACTGATTAAAGGATATTTTGTGTTAACTCCAATTTGTCTCATAGAAAGCAGAAGTTACTTTGTATTTACTTTTGAATATTTTTTGCAGAGACAAGTAGGAATGAAATATATGCTTATAGGTATGATTGTTATATCTAAACTCACTTTTCTATTTCCTTTTTGAGGGAGAGGATATGAAACGAGGAGGCTTAGTCTTTTTATTTATCCCTGTACATTTATGTAAGTGGGTTATTCTTAATGTTCAAAGATGACATTTTGGTCCATTGTTTTTTAGCATTTTGCCAAATGTCATCTCCTATGACTGACTTTAGTTTGGAGAAGTGCTAGTGTGCCCAAGATTAAAGAGAGAAGTGTATTATTTCCAAGTGGAGCATTGTGGGAGGTTTCTAACTGTGTTCTAGAATATATTCAAAGGAGAGAAATGGCTAAGAAGAGTGTTACTGTCATTGTTCCTGTGTGCCTGCAGGGAGTGTCTCTTCCTTTCGTCTAGACCTGTCAGTCCGCTTTTGGTATACATGTGTGAAGGTATGTTTGAAGGGATGTTTATCAATGTAATATCAGTGTTTTATGTAGTGAGGTTTGGAGAGAAAAAGTGTGTGCACATTTGCTTTATTTGTAGCTGACTACTGTCTTGTAAGCAGTGCCACCAGATTGCTCCTTGAAAACTAGGATAGTGAGACTTCATCTCCCATGCGTTGGGCAGGTTATCAGGAGGCCCTGGAAAAGGATAGTATGCTTGGAAAAGGAGAAAGTCAACAAAAGAGAGAGAAAAGTGTGCGATAAGGTAGATTGGCAGAATGACCGCAGCAGTGGTGGTAAGCACAGCAGATATGGCAGGGACGCTCCAGGACTGTTACAGGGTTCTGTTCTCTTCTACGGCATTGACAGGAGTCAAGCTGACTTGACGGCATCTCACAGCAACCCCCACAAAGTTGTCATTTGTTTAAACCTTATTATTTATATTTAAAGTTGCTCCTCCTACAGTTTAAAAACTGCTCTTAAGCTTGTTAAACTGTTCTTTAACTTCAAACAGAGAGGAAGGATGGTTTTCTTTTTTAGAAGCATAGCACTGGCTTGCTTTATTGCTTACCAACTAGAAATGCCCCATAGCCGTGCCAATGTGATATCTTTAGTCATTTGCTTTTATTCTGCAGAGTTTGTCTTGATTAAATCAATATCCTTTTTTTATTTAACAGGGCTTACAGAAATATTTGCAGAAGCATGATGGGAAATACAATCAGATCTTGGCCTTTAGACCTACAGGATGGACGCATTCTAACACATTAATGAGAATATCGGATATTGTTCCCCAGAGGAAAGGAAACATTTCAATATATGGTATAATTATTGGATACTTGTAATGTTTGTAACTTATTTTAAAGAGCTCTGAAATTAAGATTCAAGAAAACCAGGCACTGAAGAATCTTGAACAACTCGATAGTTCCAATCTTTTCATATTCTATAGCTTTCTCTGGAAGACATCACAAATGAATTTAAAGGAGCTTAGTGTAGTGATGTCCCTCTCCAAGGACTGGGACGTCATGCTTAGGAGGGTGGAGGGACAGCGCTAGAGAGGAAGAACCTCGATGAGATGGATTGATTCAGTGACTGGGGTAATGGGGATGAGTGTGTCAGAGACAGTCAGATTGCACAGGATAGAGTAGGGCTTAGGCTGTTGTACACAGGATCACTGTTAGTCACCGGTGACTCGAAAGCACATTCCAACAGCAGCAACAAGTGTAGTGAACATCAGCTCATGGAGATCATTGTACTTGGGTGAACAGTGATATTTAAAGGAAATTGTAGAACTACGTGAGAAGAAACGTTTTGTGGCTATATGAGTCCTACCTAAGCCGTAGTAAGATTGAAAGCAAAAAGGCAGTGGATTTGATGTAGTAACAGCAAGAGATGTGGGTATTTTAATGTTTTCTTTTCTTGGGGAAGGTTGCCTACAGATGTTTACCAGCAGGCTTTTTACAGTGACTGACTGAAACATTTTGCTACATTATTAAGCCAATGATTAATTTTGGTTTTTAAGGATCCTTCCTCACTTTCTTTATGGTACTTGGTCTTCAATGAGGTTAATTAAATGTTTAATAGACAATTAGCTTGTTTATTTGTTGTTGCTTATTTTGTGTGGAATCCGCTTACTGGTGCTGGGAATCTAGAATCTCCCACTTAACCACTTTTCAAACTATTTCCCCAATATTTTGCAAAAAGCCATGACTGAGCAAAGTGCCTAAAGCAAAGAATTGTCTGAAAAGAAGAAAAATTATAATAAAAGAGAATCCTTAGGAATGCCTCACATTAAATAGCTTCTCTTTTGCGTTGCAGGAATTCCTTACAGTGAGCACAGCAGCTTCCTGGAAATGAAACGTTTCGTGCAGTGGCTGAAGCCCCAGAAGATCATCCCTACAGTAAATGTTGGCACCTGGAAGAGTCGGAGCACCATGGAGCAGCATTTTAGAGAGTGGAAACTGGAAGCAGGATATTGATGATACTTGTGGACTGAGAAGTAGTTAAGTAACTTGAGTTGTCAATAATTAATAGCTGTTAATAATTAAGCCTTTAGTTATTTGAAAGGGTTTTTTTCTGCTTTAGGTGAAGAACCTCTTGAAGATCACTCACATAGCTTTTCTCCACTAATGTTTGTTTGAACCACGTGCTTGAGGTATTGGATGCTTCACTGCAATACCTGACGCTGAATCTCCCTAGTGACTAACCTTAAGGGCTTTCCTCTCCCTACAGGGCACTTTATTCAGTCAGGTTTTGGAGGACAACATAAGGACAGGTCCAGGGGCCAAAAAAATTCATTGTTATAAATAAACTAATTAGTTGAAAGTCATTATGAAGCTTTAACATTATTTACAATGGGGGTATATTTTATAAGTAAAAAATTTTATATTAAATATATACTTAAATAAACAATTCTAAGTTTTCAGCAGTGTCTTTTTTTGGGGAGAGTTGAGATTTGTAATTATGATGTTTGTCTTTGTTATCTAGAGCTGCTATAAGAAATACCACAAGTAAATGACTTTAACAAGCAGAACTTAACCACAATCTAGAAGTCTGAATTCAGAGTGCCAGTCCCTTCTAGGGGACAGCTTTGCTTCTCATTCTGTTCTGGAGGAAGCCCTGGCCTCATTTCCATACTTGTGGGCTGGCATTCCTTGGAACTCTCTGTGTGTCTTGACACCAGTCTTCCCCAGGGTCTAGGAGATTCTCAGCACTTTACTCCTGGCTCCAAAGGGTGTGTTCCCCTCCCATCTCTTCTTTCTTGGTAGTAGTGCCCCCTTTTCTCTGCTCATTTTCCTCCCCCC